GCTTCAACATGCGTGATTTATGACAAGTTATCGATGGGTGTGTAAATATTGACACCTTTGTGTAATGTCTATACCCAAAAGCATTTATGTAAACTACATGTACATGTACATGCTGGTTGGAATTAATACGAATATATTAACAGGATCAATATCGATTAACAAGTGAAATCTTCTTATCAGGAAAGAAATTACCAACTAAAATCGGTCTTAAAAGAATATGTAAAAATAGATGTTTAGTGTCAACATGATATTTAAATATTACTTCCATGGAGTCAAGAAGGTTGGTATCGATATGAGATATACGTTTTTATTACCAAACACTCACATTGTATACGGTTTCTGGGGAATGTGTCTTAATTTCTCAGAACAGTCTTTTTCGAACTTTATTAAACAACAAACATTTTTTTCAATGCATACAGCATTTTTATTTAAACTCAAATGTCGTGTTTCTTTTCCTCATATTTTTTATGGAAACCATCGAATTGTCTTTAAAAAAAACATTCCCTTCCACAAAACATGAATGGTCTGTGCCTGATATATAATCATCAATAAAATGATATTGTATTTTTGAAAACCTACTTATAGTACAGTAATATTTGTATATTTTTTCTTGTTTCAATTACCGTGTATGAGGGTATGAATAGGTTACCGTGAATGAGGGTATGAATAGGTTACCGTGAATGAGGGTATGAATGGTTTACCGTGAATGAGGGTATGAATGGGGTTTACAGATTAGAGAATAATGGTCAAAAAGTAAAGACTAGAAAAAAAAATGGGCCCAAAAAATATAGAAAACAGATTAAGGGTGTTGAACTATAAAGAATAGAGGACATTATGCAGCAAATAAAAGAGTAGAAAGAAATGGACCCAAAATTAATTAAAAGATATAGAAATGAAGACCTGACCCCCTCCCCCCTACACGACCACCATCATCCCCAATACATGACACCACCACCATATATACATCTCTAAACAAATCTTTAAATTTGGTTTCATGGTCCCCCCCCCAGACATCGAGGTTCTGGATCCGCCCCTGTTTTCTGTTGATTTTGAAATGAAGAGTGAATAAAAGAAGTAGGATCAACACGTATGACTTATTTTAAGAAAGTAAATATAGCACTTACATTTCAATGTGTTCATCTTGTCCCTTTAATAATAATCTTGCATTTTGTATGCCGATTCTGTTTTGTGTGTGTTTGTCGAACAACGTTGCGAATAGAGTGGACTGATGGGAAGAAATTCAATTATGACGTCATAATGAAAACGTAAACATTACTTATGAGAACGGTCCACGGAACGGATGTGATTTTCCGTGGTGTACTTTGAGTGTCTCTCAAACACGTGCCATAAGTTCTTTCGTTAAATAAGTATACTTCGTTTGCCTTTTAAAATAAGAATGCAACAGAACTGACATTTGGGGCCTCGGTGGCCGAGTGGTCTAAGTAGTCCAACTACTGTATCACTATCCAGTCAACAATAAACAATGAGGTTGTGAGTTCGAATCCCGCGCGGGGCAGGTGCACTCGACTCCAATCTTAATTGACTAGGATTGTCATTTTTCCTACCGAAGGTCGGTGGTTCTCTCCGGGCACTCCGGCTTCCTTCACCAATAAAAACTGGCCGCCACGAAATAGCACAATAGTGTTGAAAGGGGCGTTAAACACCAATCAATCAATCAATCAATCAGAACTGACATTTGCAACTGACTTTTATAATGTGTTTTTATGCTGTGCTGTTACACCATTGTCCAAGGTTAGGGGAGGGGGCAAACATATTCAAGTTAACCCCGCCACATTCTGCCGTGTCTGTCCCAAGTCAGCCTGTAGTTCAGTGATTGTCGTTGGTTCATGTCTGTCATATTTGTTTTTGGTGAATTATTCAGTTATAATAAAAGGCCTTTAGTTTTCCCGTTTGAATTGTTTCACATTTTTCAGATTTTTTCATATCGGGGCGTTTATAGCCGACTATGCGGTATGGGTTTCTCAGTGTTGAAGACCGTATGGTGACCAATAATTGCTTTAATCCACTTTGTTTGAATCTGGTGTATAGTTGTCTCATTGGCAATCATACCTCATTTCCTTATTCTTATAAGCAAGGGAATCCCGCATTTCGTGCATAAACTTGAGTTTTTCGTCATATTCTAAAATCGATGACTTCGTTGTCTCAAATAGGCTTTATTTTTATCTGTGGGACCAATTCTTTGACGCTGGCATATGATGAATCCATTTTGTTAGTTTTATTTAGTGAGGACAAAAAGCCCCCAAACCGCCGAACTTTTAAGTTTGGCAGAACGTTATCGTGGCACTGAGTGTATTGCAGTATGTTCAGATGGACAGTTGTTTCGTTTTCCAATCTTCCTATTGTATTTCAATCGTTATTTGACAAACACAGACTTTTAATACCATGGCCTCTTGATATCACCAGAGTTCGCCAATTTCCAATCTGTTGTATTAAAATGCTCTGACAAATATAAGGCTGTATTGAGAATTTTTTTAACTCTGATAAGATTCTTAAGTTTAATGAGATATTCTGTTTTATTATTTTAAAAAAAAAGGCACGACCTGACATATAAACCGCTGAAGCTACCGGAACCGGATTAGTATTGCGAAGCATACGGAGTCCTTCAGTCCACCATGAAAGAGAAGAATAGGTCCACTTGATAAAATAAAAAAAAACACATTATTATAAGTTTGACTGGTTCGTCCGCAGCGCTTCTCTGGAATAACCTTCATCAGGAACACTCTAACCCAAAGTATTGGACGCTTTGGATTAGACTGGTTCTCTGTCCTTTATCTGTTTGGCTCTACATATAAAATCCTGTTTTGCGAGAAGCTATATGGCAAAATGGGTCTAAACCATGACAATATAAATTCTGCATGTTGTAAAAAACAGTTACAAGATCGTAGGTCATATTCTATTCCGTATACAATAAATTATACCGAGTGAAATTCATAAAATATGCAACAAAGTTGCAATCATGTGTTTGTATTGATACGTCGTATTGTCATGAAATAGAAGTTCCTTTATAATGTAAGTGCCAAATGGAAAAAAAAATATTTTGGAATATTATTTCCACTGGAACAATTATTACCGAGAATTTGTTTCTAACGGAATAAATGGTATAGATATTATGGTATTTTTTTTAACCTGGGAATAATACGTTGAATATTCATATATTGGTTCCTGTTATAACAAAGATTTCTGGGGAACTTATGTTAGGCGGAACACATACATGTATACGTTGACATTATCAAAAAGCATATTATTATAATCAAGGTAACTTTCAAAATCATTCTAAAATCTCCATTTCTACCAAGGATTACGATCCAGCCCTTACATGTACTCTTCAAACATATATGTCTCTAATTTTCTTGAGTTGACCACCATTACTTCTTTTCCAAAATCTGAGGTGTGTCCAAAATGACCAATAAGAACTGACCATAAAGTTAAACAAGGTGTGACAATAAATTATATAATGAGTTAGACAGGTGGACATAGATACAACTCTGCTCAATGAAGTATGACTGATTAGAACTTTCATACAATTTAAAGTGTGTAGAAATAATACATTGTATAAATTAAAAGATCAAATATACCAAGTGAATTAATCAAGTATAATATCTGCTCGTAGATGAAAGTCACTCTAAAAGTTCCCATGTGGAACCGGCAAGTCGTGCATTTGCATGCGTGCTCATACATAACTATTTTACCATTTTGTGAAATTTTCCTTTTGGAAACTAATGATAAAAGTTACAATTTAGTGAAATGTTCCCGGGGGAACACAATAAAAGTTACCATTTATTTTTCCTCTAAGGAACATTGAAATGAGTCGAAAGTAATCAAATGGCTCATTGATTTCTCTTTTGCAGTATTATTCCAAGTAATTAACAAGTCTTTATTTATGAAATAATTAATGGTATGAGGGATATCATTTTGATTATTTTCTTGTGTTTTCTTGTTTGTTTCGGTATCGATCTGTAAAAGTAATAATAAATGGTATATTTATTGATGTCACTTGTAATAGAAACATATCAAAAAGTTACCATTTAGTACAATGTTCCACTGGAAAACACATTTTAAAAGTTGCAATTTAGTAAAATGTTTCTCTCTGGAACATTAAAATGTTCCTGCGGTGAACATTTATCAAAAATTATCATTTAGTCGAAAGTTAGAAATGAGAAAATTTTCTCTTTTATAGCATTCTTCCCATAAGTTTTAGTTATGAAATATTTACCGGTAGGAGGATATCATCTTGATCATTGAGTCATTTATAAATTTCGACTAAGTGATAGTTTATATGTCACGGGTCCCTAGAAGAACATTTCCGAATAACTATATATAAGATATATACTATCCGGCAGATTATTCAATCCATCTTGTATGGGAAAGGATTTGTATAGGCAATGCCTTTTGTTCAATCCCTTTGTTTAAATGTACGATTGATATTTGAACAATACAATATTTTGAATTAAATAGAAATAAAACATTTCACTATGAAAGGGTAACTTTTATAATGTCTGAGGCTATTATACTATTAGTATGATAGTCCCAGATAATGTGTTCCCAAGACGAGCCGATTTAAAATTACACGAAATGGTTACTTTCTATGTGTTCCCTATAGCCACATTAAGATGTGTGTTCCCAAAATTGACATTGCATTAAATGGTAACTTCAATTATGGGTCCGGGTCAGAGGATCATTGCGGCAATACTGATTCCCCAGGCCGGAACATTTCACATTTTAATCATCCGCGTAACTCAGTTAAAAAATAAAATATTGTTTATTATGTGCTCCCCAAGGAAACATTTCTAAAATAGTAATGTATCGTTCGCATGCAAATGGATCATTTGTCTGTTCAACAGTTGAACATTTGAGTGTGACTTTCGTTCTACGAGAACTCGCAGTGGTAATACATGTATTAGTGGGTTCGCAGGTTTAATGCGGAATTGGCTCATATCAGTGGTTGTTTTGGTTTTCATTTACTTTTTTAAACACCGGAAATGGAAGTATGGCCGAAGAAAATGTGAGAATTGAAGAAAGTTTAAAAGTGAAAATAGGTTGTTATTTCAAGTATAATAGAAAAAAATTATCATTAACATATACTTTATGTATGTTTCTCACAACTGAACACCTAAGTTCCACGAATTAAAGATTGAAGCGAAACCATTGCGCACATGATTCTTGACGACAGATACATTTGTAATGTTTTGACTTTGTAGAACTTACTGTAAATTTATTTAATACTTGTAAACATTACAAACAAATAATTAATTTGAACATCTAGAAATGAAATTCAAGAATTTCATAGATTGAATTGATCCTTAATAAAGAAAGTCACAGAATTGATAGGACGAAAGTCACAATTACATCTTGTACTTAGTTCAGGATTCTTAGAAGTTATATTCAAGGCCTCCAGAAATAAACCAGATCATGAGACAAATCTGCAGTATTGGCCTATACTGGTCCAAATGTCTGATAAATTTTTTCTTTATACCATATTTATTTAGCCACACTCTAAACAAAAAACAAGTTTTTAAGTATCCTTTTGTCACAAACATCTGTGCCATTTGTCCTAAAAATTATATCTTTTCAGTTGAAATTCATGATAAAAACAGCAAATTGTTTTAAAACATATCAGATTTGGGTTTATTTCTGCCTATCATGCAGGGCTTTCAATAACCCCCCCTTGGGATTCAGTGTCCAGGTGTTTTTTCTGATTTGGCTGTCCTCAGAATCCCTTATCATAATGGCACTGGGTCAAGGTGAGGTAGATGGTAAATATTTTACAAACTACAGTTAATAGGGCTTGATTATAAGGATTATGAGGGTGGCCAAATCAGAAATTTTCTCCTGATGCTGAATCCCAAAAGGCCCAAAGGATTTTGCTTCCAAAAGTACCCACTGATATCTACTGTTTGGAGGACTTTCAGATGAAGGCTACTTTATTGACAAAAATTAAATTAAATCCTATAAAAATAAATCCAGAGTTCGCGAAAATGGTCAGTCCTGTCGGTCAAAATGAGGCTCGGACCAGTATTTTGAAGGCTAGTGTCGGTCCCGATGGCCGATGTAAAAATGGCCGTTGTAGTGCATATTTCGGCACTTTTTTACATCGGTTATTAGATGTACCGCAACTGTTTCCAACAAGTGTTTTCATTGGTTATCAGATATACCCGCTGCCAATTTCCCGTACTGGTTTACGGATTTATTATAAACAAACCAAAGCGGCGATCTACACGTCGCCTACTTAATTTGTTCATAGAGCCATCCCTGGCAAACAATCAGCGATTGAACCCTACAATGGAGCAAACAAATACTGTAACAGCCGATAAAGTGATTCAGATGATGAAATGGATATTGAAGATGACTTTAAATAAGAACAATCAGAAGATCTGAACTGGTCCTTCGTTGTTAATTTGCCTGTGGGTGCGAAGAATAAAACTAATATTAATAAAGTTATTTTTCGATAAAATATGTTATTAATTTTATTTCAGGATAAAATTGACAGATTTTGTAGGACTGACAAATAATCATGCTTTGTCGGTCCCAATTTAGGTATTTTCCGAAATGGTAAATGGTAAACCAAAATGGTAAATGGTAAACCAAATCGGTAAATTGGTTTACCTAAGTATAAATACGGCGGAGAATACAGATAAGTCTTTAGCACGATTTTACCCTGGGCAAGTAACACACGTTAATTCCAAGCGATTTTGATATACGTACAGATACCATGTACCATACCAAGTAGTAACCAGACAGCCAACACTATTACAATGTCCGAGGAGACGACGTCCGTATAATGTGGGTTTGTTAATTCCTTTACGAGTTACATTTAGAGAATAACTTCTTGAGAGAAACTTTATCTTTTGGCATTGTATTTGATTTACCATTTGCCGATTACCGAACTACAATTAGTAAACTTTCTGGGTATATTTTTCCGCTATCCATTTTCTTTAATTCACGATAGAAGGTTAATAAAGAATTAATCTGTTAGACTAGAATACTGTTAAGTTATTTAATATTTATATGTATTGTTGATATTTAATGCATCTTAAAGTTAATACAAGTTGATTTTTATTTAACGAGTCTGTTATTCTTACAAACATCGAGAGTTCCCATACAAAAAGCTAGTATACTCCAATCTACCCTTTTATATCCGAGTCATTACCTTACCAGAGGAACCAACCTTGCCCGTGTGTATTCCGTCAGAATACCAGAGTTCCACATAGTACCACGATACCAGAGTACCATGCTACCAAAGAAGGGTCTCCCGTCATAACTTTTATTTCATATATATAATTATGCATTCTTACAAGAACATTCTTATAGCAACACACTAAGGGATAAACATTTATAGTTTAACACTAAGGCCCTACCGCTCGGTTTTCGTTACAATATTACACATAAATATGTCCTAGGTCCATCAGACACCATCGATTCATAATGCCTGTTGATAAGGAAATGGTATAGTCCACCAACTCACAGGCATATTAACACACGAAAAGAAACAGACAGACATGTGTTCTTTCCAATACAGTAACATAATACTGCATTGGAAAGAAATAACTATTTTATTAATTCAGTCATCATCAGTTGATGTCTTTAGAGAACAGCTCACAGCTGTTGTTCACTGGTAAAACCTCTGGTACATTGTGTACATAGTATTAAAGTAATGAATGCTTTGAGCAAGTAACATTTTTAAAGTACTTATCTAAAGGAATTTGTAACCATAGAGCCCTGTATACTGTTTTCCCTTTTAAATCTTGCAAAAACTACAAATAATTGTCATAGGAGTCCTATTTATGTTATCTGTATGAAATAATTTATAATTTCAGCTAAAATTTAGACAAAACTGGTCAATTTAAATGTAACATGTACTAAATTATGCTGAAATTCTAAATTATTTTATACAGATACCATACACTGTAAATAGGGTTCCTATGACAATTATTCTTATTATGTATAAGCCCATGACATATACTATTGATCATAAAAAAATTGGATTCTTTTATCATTTGACTGTTCAAACTGTTGACTACTCAAAGTACTGATTATAATTGAAATCTGCACTTTTTATCATACATATTATTTACAAATATGTGCTTTTTTGCATATATTGTATATGCTTAACCAATACTGGTAGGGGTTAAGTCTGATAGGTTTTTATGTCCAGTGTTCTCCCCATGCCCTTAAAGGACCACGGGCCCGCGATGTATAATTTTTGACCGTGGTGGTATCGGTCTTACCGCGATTTATAATTTTTTCCGTTGTGCTAAAATTTTCAGTAAAAAAAATCGTAAATTGGTAAAGTTTTAAGCGATTTGTTAAATCTTTTCCGTGCGGTATAAAATTCCAGATGAAATTTGACCACTTCAAACCAGTTTACCCAGATTGTTGACACCACGTGATCGATTTACCTTATGAGGTTAACCTTGTTGATTGGATTTAATCGATGTAATTAACACTTGTTACATTATTCTTTTGTGTTTTAATTAGGAGTTCATAACTTTATGATCACTGATAACTAGTTTATGGCTTCACTCACAACCCAATTAAGCACTGACCTGTGACAAGTCTGAAAATACTTTGTACACAAACAGTGTGAACCCCATAGTTGCACACACGACTGTACATTTTTTGTACATAATAAAGTTGGCTCATTAGTATAGTATAATATGTCTGATTAAACCATGGCCAACATTTTCTTTAATTATGATATAGTTAGTGCATGATATCGGGTTTCAAACTATATAGTATCTGAAGTATTATGAAATTTTTTTTTTTTTTTTTTAAATTCAAGATAGAAACTGGTTCAAACAATAAATCAATATTTGTTCTTGTTATTTTATATCTCCTTATGACAAGAATCCTTTCAACTACAACAACTTTCTTTCTAGAAACTATAAAGTTTTTTTTTAAATTGAACATTTTTGGTCTCCTTTGAATGATATTTTATTTTTATTGGTCATGGATTTTATAAAAGATTTGATTATTACTTTAAATTTAGATGAATATTTTGTAATAAATCATGTTTAATTTATTTTAAAAAAATATTAAAGTATACAAACTGTTTATTGATTTACTTCTTTTTTTCCAAATAATTTTTTGACTCAATGTCTACATAACACAGTACCACAGTGTTAAAACAAAACAAAAGACATACTGCAGTATACTAGAATTATAGCTAAGCGACGCGACGCAACTGATTGTAGGAATCATTTCACCAAGCTGTCCACACGCGTTACCCTGGTGCTATCCAAAAATCCTGGAGAGAACACTGTGTCTGATGTTTCATCAAGCCCACCTTTGGATCTTTCAACACATAACCATTACCAGGTTAATGGAAACCCTGTTTTTATATATTATGACCTGATCAAGATACTTTGATTGTTTTACTACTAATACTACAAGCATTCTCCATGTACTCTTTTCTTGCTCTTGGGGCGTTTATTTATGAGGTTCATTGATGTTCATATCATAATTTAACTAACTACGAATTTAGAAACCAGTGTCTAAACTGCTCAGTTAAGCCACCAGGTTGTTTGCATTGCAGTTCATAATTACCTGTGAAAGTTATTGATAGGCCTTCTACCATGGATGATCCTATATCTCTTGTTTACTCAGTTGAAATTAATATAATTGTAATATTTATTTCTGTAACACTTAAAAAATTTAACTATTTACAGGTGAAGCCAAAAATCTACCAAGCAACAGTTTATCAGGAACAGGGAAAAGTACATTCTGTGTAATAAGATTAGATCACGAAGAAATATACAGAACATCTACAGTTGAAAAGTCTCTCAAGTATGGAAAATTGCTTTAGTAATTCATTTTTTCTAAACAAAGAAAATGAATTGCATATAAAAGTTTTGTAAAATGATATCAGGTTCAGAATATATACATAACCATAACAAAGTTCTACATCAATCACTTATATTGTTAATATGAGAAAAAATGAAACAAGAATTTCATTCAAAGTTGGAGGATTTTTGTTGAAAGTTCATCATTTCTTTGTTTGTTTTAAGGGCTGCTTGCTTCCTGTGATAATAAAAAAAAAGGGCACAAATGACACTCAAGCATGATCAACAAATTTTACTTTTGACGGCATGGTCCTTAAATAATTCTATAGACATACATGACATAGCAAGGCTAATAATTTAACATTTTGTTTATGTTTTATGAGTATCTAACTTTTATGGGAACACACCAAACATGCTCTTCACTCTCCAAATATGTCTCTTATATTTGTTAAAGCCACAATTACTGTGTATAAATGCTACTTTTAGTTTTTCCTTTGTTCATTGGCACTTCATAAGGGAATCTACAGGCATCTTGTTATCTTCCCTGTATTTAATATGTATAATTAGTTGGTTAAAGGTAGGTAATTAACATTTTTTTCTCTTTGGTCCGTCTTCAGTAAATTCAAAAGAAAACATAAATTCTGTTCATTATTATATATTCTGAATGGAAAATGTAATATACTTACAGTCCATTTTATGGTGAAGAGTTTACAGGAGAAATTCCAAAGAAGTTTAGATACTTATCTGTTCAATTGTATGAAGCCAGTCAAAATAAAAGTAAGGTGAGTACTGATTCATTGGATTTGTATTTAATGCTATAAATACATGATGTAAAATATTTGCCTACTATAACTTTTCAGCAATAATTAATTCCTTAAGACCTGGAGTCAGTTTCACAAAAAATCTTATGACTAAAGTTGATTGCACTAAGTCATGAAAAATTCAGTATACTTACGATCAATCTTAGTTGTATGTTTTTTTGTGAAACCCATACCTACATTCCCAATTTGAATGAGATATTTGGTGTACTTTTGATTTAAATCCATACTGGAGAAATCTAGAATGCTTTATCAATCAGATTTACTACTTTTTGTATCATAACATAACTTTACTCCATTTAAGTTGGGTCATCAGTTTAGACTTGGATCTCTCAGATTAATAATATACAATTAGGTATTTACTTTGGAAACTCTTGTCGGGTAACTCTTTGCATTAGATATTATAAGTCAAGAAGTTATTGTCTTTTTTAAATGTAAATTTAATTATTTCATCTGCCAAAGATGTGTGCAACCAAGTCAAAGGAATTATAATTTAGCCTTTTAGTAAAAACTGTTCATTAATGTTTTATAGGTTATTGGAAAAACAACTTTAAGAAGACAGGAACTGTACAAGTATCATGGGAAAGAGCACTGGTTCCCTTTAGTACCAGTTGATGCTAATAATGAAGTTCAGGTATTTAGCCACATACATTTTTTACCTCATAAAATTAAATGTAACCTTAATGTCAGTATTGTCTAATCTTAGTCTTACTTTCTCTATCATAATCATCACTAAAAAAAATTTACACAAATAAATATTGCCAAGAATTCATTAAAGATATGTTTGGAAATGAAGATTATGTAACAGTCATGCTATAACTAAGTCTTGTAAAGTTTGTTATGTCAGTCCAAAGTAAGATACATTAAACATATAAAACATCATTCCATGTCATCTCTAAATCATCATTGATTTCAGAGTGAGGTGTTAAGACTTTACTCTAAAAGTTTGACATATGATGAACTTCACTTCTTCATTTATTGATGGGTAGGAAATAAGTTACAAATTACATGTGGCAAGAATTAACATGCCATGTATATAAAGTATGAACAAACTAGGAAGGCATTGACTGGAGATGTATATATTTTCAGTTGGAATTTTCATTGTTGGATCTGAGAATAAAAAAACTAATGTCAACCTTCATTCTCTAAATTAAACACTATCAACCAATAACCTAAATGCTACCTAATAAGGTTCTGTTAAGTGTAAATAACTAATAATAGAATTTTGACATTTGGCTAAAACATCAATCCATCAAAAGGTCTTTTCATCTTATATCATTTCCTTTAGATCATTTCATGTTTGACATATGTCTGCTGTAATTATATGTTTGAATTACATTTAAATGATGAATTATAAGTGATATGATTATTTTAGGGTAAAGTCCACTTGGAGATCAAGTTTGATGAATACTTAAATGGTGAATCAGAAAATTATACCTCACAGGGTTTGTCCGTCAGGTGAGATGATTAAGTATACAAATATCAGAAAATTTTTATTAATTTATCACTATTGATGAGTACTAGAGGGTTGTAAAGGGGGATATGTGTGTACATGTATATTTACCTTTTTGGCTAAAAAAGACAGTGGATATAGAACTTAGAGCAATGACACAAAATTGAAGAGGCTAACATGCTGCTAGAAGAAATCTGAATATAAAATTATGGAGATGTGATATGATTGGCAATGAGACAACTATCCACCAAATTTCAAATGAAGTGGATGTAAGCAATTTTAGGCAACTGTACAGCCTTCAACAACGAGAAAACACCATACCGTATAGTTTGCTGTAAAAGGCCCTGACATGAAAAATATGAATTGATTCAATTGAGAAAACTAACGGCTTAATTTATAACAAAACAATTTACGAAAAACAAATATGACAGATATGCACCAAAGACAACCACTGAACTACAGGCTTGAAGCACTTTTCATGAAAAAATCTTAGCACCCACTTTCAATATGTTCAAAATAGAACAGGAGGTATATGGTTAAGCTTTTTGAAAACTGTATAGTGCATAAACTCTATTTAATTGAGATGGAAAATATCTCGTATTTGTCTACAGTTTTTTTTCTGGAAGGTAAATACAATATTTTTTTCATAAATTAGATATAAAAGAGCACCAGAGCATTAATTACATGAAATAAAGAATCATGATAAATCTGTCACAATGCAAGAATTGAGACAACTTCCAAAAATCAATGGTCAGTACAGAATTCATCACAAATAAATAGAAGTAGATAACATAGAAAACTAATGTTTTGTAATACAAAATCCTAAAAAATCTGATCGAAATTAGTTTGTTCACAATTTTTTTTTTGTCTTTCATTAGGGTACTAGAATGTAGTGACTTACCAGTAACAAATGGAGGGTGTAATCCCTATGCTATGGTGACCTTGACCTACAGTAAGTCTAGGAACAAAGCTGATATCAGAAGGACGACAGTCAAGAAGAAGACAACTTGTCCACAGTTTAATGAATGTTTTCAGTTTGTAGTAAGTTTGGTTATAATTTTTTGTGTTTGAAGTCCAATGGAAAATGTAATATTTCATTATTATGGTTTTGAAGTATTTGCAAAATATTATGTTATACTACATGATAATCAAATATATTACTTTAGTTCAATAAAAGCAAGTTTAACCGAGGAACCATACTCATTTTGACATGCATACACAGAATATTTTTCCTGGTGTAATAAAAGGAGAATGTACACATTACTGAAGATTTTTTTTATCTTTTAGTTGGGAAGTAAAGGCCAGAACTCGGACAGACAGACATATTATATAGAAGATGAATTTAACATTGATCTTGGGTATGTTATGTTTTACTTCTCTATATGAGGGATAAGATTGTTAAGATATGTTAACAAGAAAACAGTTAGGGTAATTTAATTCTTGTGTGATGTCACTGGAAATGGTTTATAAGACTTTATATGTATTATAAAACTTCATAAAAAACTGCCTCTGTGGTGTTGTGGTACTGGGTTTAAGATCCATGGCTGTGTCAAACCAGACTAAAAAATTGGTACTTGCTACTCCTCTGCTAAGCAGGTGCCATTTAAATCAAAAAGTAAAGAATCTACAGTCTCAAATGTTTGAATAATGTGTCCTGTATGGTGACATGTCCTCTTGTGGGGTCTTACCTTTTGAACTAGCTCATTAAAAATCTGGCTCAGCGTGTAGATCTGATTCAAAGCAATTTTCATATTACCTTAACAAGTTTTCACTCTGAATATGCTATTAATTTGCCATTGGAGGTTAAACAGCCATTCATCATTATCAAAGTAGAAAATATTTACAGATAATCCCAACTCATTTCTGATAGTGAAATTTCAGTAGCCCTATGTAGAAACTAATGGTTCATGTTATAAAACATAACAATTGAATTAGGTTATTAGAAAATTATAGGATTTTGTAAAGATTTGTACATAATAGAATATGGCTTGGTAAATGTTATTAAAGTAGAAAATAGTAAAATGTGGTAATGAAAGTTTATATACAAACTTTACAGTACAAACTGCATATGTAATTCATTTTATTGCAACTACTACAATAAATGTAAAGTTTGTGTTGTAAATACAAACCAAGGATATCTTGCTGTTTTATGTTGTATTTAAAAAAAAAATATTTAATAGGACATTGAACTGTTTTTCAGAGTCTCAATATGGCATGATGATTCTAGAATGTCGAGAGAAGTATTTGGAAAAATATTTCCAGGATCATTTCTTGGTGAAGTTAAAATGCCTCTAAAAGATCTAACCTCTGGTACAGTGCACAATGCATGGTAAGTTAGAACTAGTAGAAATATGTTGGGATACTCTATGTAAAATTTAGAAAATTTTCAGTCATTTTCTTTTGACATTGAAATCAGTATGTTCAATCCATCATCGAACAAATTTGATAAGAGATTTAATGTAGTGTTTTTATTAAAAAAAAATAATTTAAACATGGTTATTCCCAAAGACCAGTCTTAAGGTTCCATAAGGAAATCTTACCAATGTGTATTAAACTACAAGTGTTATTTTTTGTTGACTTTCAAGGTTTTTATGCTTGTGATTTTTGTTTAAGGTACTGTTTGCGGAGACGTGAGAGTTGGAAGCCACATCAATATGATCTTGGTTCCTTAAGATTAAAAATCTCCTATACCTCAGATCATGTTTTCCCACCGGAATACTATGATGAATTACGGGAGCTGCTCCTACAGTCTCCTGATATCGAGGTAACAGATGTTAATATAAAAATAAGGAAATTTGGTCTAATGGCTAAAGAGACAACTCTCCACCAGAGAACAAATGAAGAAGATGTAAGCAACTATAGGTCAACAATGAGCAAAACCCATACCTTATAGTCAACTATAGGTCAACAATGAGCAAAACCCATACCTTATAGTCAACTATAGGTCAACAATGAGCAAAACCCATACCTTATAGTCAACTATAGGTCAACAATGAGCAAAACCCATACCTTATAGTCATCTATTATATAACAGTCCTTACATGACAAAATATGAAAAAATTCAAACAAGTTTTTCAGAAAGAGTTTTTGCATTTTTTGAGAAAATGTTATTGGTATGCTTTTGAGTGCTGTAGATTTAAAGATTCAGAAACTAAAAAACAACTAATGATTGACCTCTTTTAACAGGATACTGATGTACATTTTTAAGTCATGAATTTTAGTATTCACCAAGTTATTATAATTCTAAAATTCATATGTAAAATGTGTTCATGGCATATGAATCTATCTGTTATAATATAGGTCAATCTACTAATGTACTATATGAATAATGGAAGATATTTCACTTTGCAAAATGAAAGCAATCCTTTACTTTTCAGTGCTCACTTATTATTTGAATGATTAATTTGGTGACTATATTGTTAGTAGATTTTTTCATATGATGTTTTTATTTATTTGTAGCCAATTACCTCAAGTGCAGCTTACATACTCAGTGAGGTTGTAGATCATCGACAGGATGCAGCACAACCTCTCATGAAAATATTTCTCCACCATAATAGATTAGTCCCATTTATCAGATCCCTGGCAAAGTATGAAATTGACAGAACAGCGTAAGTAAAAGCAGTTATCTCATAACTGTGAAACCTGTCTAAATTGTACTATGTATGGAAGGTTTTGATTGGATTAAGCAGGTATCAGTTTATGCAGGTTAAATTACTATAGAGAATGAATTTTATGTCCTGATAGTAGAGTTCAGTTTATGTATGTTTCAGAAATTAGCAGTTTTTGTTTTATGATAGATTTCACTGTAGTTGTACATAGTATTCATCGTATAGCATAAAAAACAGACTGAAAAAAAACACTCTTAAATAAAGTTTAGTAAGCAGTTTGTTTGATAGTAACTACAAAACTCAAAATAAAATACCCTTGTATTAATTAAAAGATTAAAAGGTTAAACAAAATTGGTAAGATGAACATAAACAAACTGACCAGCATGCTTTAAAAGACATGCAGACAATCTGCACTCTTATAATAATATGAAACTATTGACACGTTTTATAACGGGGAGTGTTTCAATTCAAGGAATTGGGGAAAGAGAGTAAAACGCCACCATTATTCTAAGAATTACACCATTTCTGGTCATTGAGCATTGTATACCTGAAAGTGTTTTGCATGATTAACTTTTTGATAAAATTCTTACATGTATTTTTATAAAGTCATTATTAAGTCTCCCAAACGAAGTTTGGGAAGACTTATTGTTTTTGCTCAGTTATTATTATTATTATTATTCTTCCTCTTCCTCTTCCGCCGCTTTTAAATTTGAACTTGTCCGCAACCGTTCTCCAAAACCGCTTGTCAGATTAACTTAGGGTTTCACAATATGTTAGACTAACATGTCTAGTGGTGCAATCAGGGTTTTGTTTGTGCAATGGGGTTTATGAAGGGGTACTTTGAGGGGCAAAAAGAAAAGAGGGTTTTACTATAGAACCCTATGGGATTTTATTTTTTAAAATTTTCAAATGATTATAAATTGAAAACTGTTTGTGATAGACACAATCTTTTTAATTGAAAATGTTCTAAATGATAAAACCCATTAAATGAAATACATGGTTAGTCCCCAGGGGTCATCCCCACCCCCTGCCATTTAAGAAAGTTCTAATACCTTGTAAGTGGTTAAGATCCCCACCCCTAAACCATATATATTCTGGTTTGTCATACTAAGATGGTTTGAATGATATACAAGGTTAGTCCCCAGGGGTCATCCCGACCCCCTGCGATTTGAGAAAGTTCTAATATCTTGTAAATGGTCGAGATCCCCACCCCTAAACCATATATATTCTGGTTTGTCATACTAAGATGGTTTGAATGATATACAGGGTTAGTCCCCAGGGGTCATCCCGACCCCCTGCCATTTGAGAAAGTTCTAATATCTTGTAAATGGTCGAGATCCCCACCCCTAAACCATATATATTCTGGTTTGTCATGATAAAGCACATGAAATGAAATACAGGGTTAGTCCCCAGGGGTCACCCCCACCCATGCCATTTAAGAAAGTTCTAATATCTTGTAAGTGGTCAAGATCCCCACCCCTAAACCATATATATTCTGGTTTGTCATGCTAAGATGGTTTGAATAATATACAGGGTTAGTCCCCAGGGGTCATCCCGACCCCCTGCCATTTGAGAAAGTTCTAATATCTTGTAAATGGTCGAGATCCCCACCCCTAAACCATATATATTCTGGTTTGTCATGATAAAGCAAATCAAATGAAATACAGGGTTAGTCCCCAGGGGCCACCCCCACCCTATGCCATTTAAGAAAGTTCTAATATCTTGTAAGTGGTCAAGATCCCCACCCCTAAACCATATATATTCTGGTTTGTCATGCTAAGATGGTTTGAATGATATACAGGGTTAGTCCCCAGGGGTCATCTTGACCCCCTGCCATTTGAGAAAGTTCTAATATCTTGTAAATGGTCGAGATCCCTACCCCTAAACCATATATATTCTGGTTTGTCATGCCAAGATGATTTGAATGATATACAGGGTTAGTCCCCAGGCATCACTAATGCATATAACTTTACTGGACCAAACCAATTTTCACTGGACTTTGCCCAATGTCAGGCGACCCTGGAAATTACGAATTATGGGAGCTTCGTTTGGGAGACTTCGTAACAGCATCCTGTTACAATCATTTCTTGTTGATATACAGTTATTGAGAGAAATATACACTGTACAAATTTCATGTGTCTGAAAACATTCTGGATTTACATTCATCAGGACCCCTCAAACCTAAAAAACTAAAAATTTGAAAGCCAGGGATGTGTAAATACCTTGAGGTTAAGAGCTTTATGACCAAAAAGGACCTAAATTGAATACACAAACTTATCTTAGATAATTAAAATGAATAAAAAAAATGAGCTTTTTATGGATTTCCCAAAATTATTCCTTGGTTATACTGTAATTAAATATGATATTCCTTTCCTTGTTTTTCATTGTGCTGAAACCCAAAACTGTACGTATAAGATATTCATTAATGTGTTTGTATTTCAGGGATCCTCACACATTGTTCCGTGGTAATACTCTAGTTACAAAGTTGATCGATGAGTTGATGAAACTGACTGGTTTACCTTACTTGCAGGAAACAATTAAGGCTACAATAGACCAGGTAGGTCAATATACCATTTCTATGTCGAGAAGGACTCAGAAGTCTTACTGGAGGGTCTGATATTTAATTAGACTAGAAGACCAGTCTGTCTTCCTGAGGATTAAAAGTCTGGTTTGAGAGTAAAAGAAAATAGCTGGTGCTAAAAAAACAGCATCTACCGTTAAAAGGCTTGTATAGTCCGCGGTTTTATTCTCCAAAATTGAACCTGCTAGACAGGGGTGCGGACTATAGAGTATAATAAGCAAGAAATAAGAGAAAAAAATTAATTTCGCAAGGTGGTTTGTTTACGTCCCGCCATGTTTGTTATTGATATTGTAGAGGGCGCTCTTATAATTTTTCAAACTAATAATTTTACCTAATCCATATTAATAAGATATTTTTATTCAATATCATATTAATACTGATGAATTTAAGAATTAAACTTTTCATTATAAATTTCTTGTTTCTTTTAATGGATTGCTTAAAATAAACTGGTATCTGCTTGAATGAAACGGTACAAAAAAAGTAAAAAAGACAACCATAAACCAGCTTACGATGTGTAAATTACAAAACTTAATCGGGTATTATTCGTTCCGTTTTGGTTTTTCATACTGACAAATATGTTTTGTATTAGCTTAAGACCCTTCAAACATTAATGTAATAGATATCTTAAACACTGTTTTACATAAGGATGGAACTGTTTTACTTTCAAAGTCGTATTATAGTGATATCTATTATGTACGGATTTCGACACTCACGGTTTTTTCTTCTTTTACACATGCTTTTCAAACTTCCAGTTTAAACATACACAAGTTTCTAAATTGTATTTTGTGTGATTTAGACTTATTTTAACAATCATGAAGTGTTCTAGAATCATTTACAAGCAGTTTCAGCTTCTGTTTGATGATGGAAAACAGGTTTTTCCAAGCAATACCGCAAACGACCACACACAATTTGAAATTACCGGAGTTTCATTAGATCTTTTCTAACAGTTACAAAAAGTTTTTTTACCTGAAATTTCATGGGGAGAAGGGGGTGCGGACTATGTACCAGTGCGAACTATACAAGCCCGATTACGGTAACTGTTTTGCTATATTATTCCAATGATAATTATATTCCAGAGAATGCTTCTATAAAAACAGGAAGTTAGATGTACCCCTGACATCAATTATTCAGTTCATTCAAAGGTGAAAAAAAGTTGAAATGACTGAGTTTAAAGGATAAGCTTACACAGATTTATGTTTTTATGACAACCAAGTGTGATAACTTATTTGTGTAGAGAATTCAGTAGTGTTTAGACAAACTTTAAGTATTCTGCAACATAAAAACTGATTTTTGAATAACACAAAAAACACTTGTATTTAAGCAAGTCTTAAGTTTGTACATGTTTATACTTATACCTACAATAGTAATATCCATTATGTTTTTAAATTGTTCCATGTGCTATCACATATTTTGCAGATCTGTATAGAACACAAATCTTGTGAAATTGATCCAACCAGATTAAAAGAAGGAGAGATCCTTGAAGAAAATATGGTATATTAACTTTTTCTCTTCATTATCCGTTTTCTGCATACTAGCATTGATGTTTTATGGTATTAAATAAACTTTCTTTGAAAAGAGTTCACCAGTAGAAGTTTCCCTGTGAGCTAGCACATTTGAAAAAAGTCAAACTCTACACATTTGTTTTTTTACAAAACAGAGCTCTTTTTATTTCATATAAACAAGTTCACATCATGAAGAAGGTGAAAGGATTTCTACTGAATGTTGAAAGTGCATCAACCATCATAAATATGTAAAGACTGATGAGAGGAGTACTTTTCCCGAACTTTTTATTTATAAGAAAGGGAAACAATCATTTGATATGAGAAGACTGTATTTTATGCTTGTAAAGATTGTTTTCAATCTTTCTTACAATACCTTTAGTCTCTAGATATTTATTCTATTCAATAGCTTTTCAAAATACCTTAGCCAGGTTTTCTAAATAAAATAACAACTAAACTACTATTTCAAGAAATAGAAATTATTATTATAACTTTAAATTACTACAAAGAATTAAAGTACAATATGTTTAACGGTTTTCTGTGATTTTCGTGCGTGAAGTATTTACCTACTGTAAATTCAGAAATTATTGCGTGCATTTATTATTGCGATTTTGTCATTTTAGACTAAAATGCGATTATAATTTTTGCGATATTGAGAAAATTCCTGTTTAATTCATATAAAAAATTTCAAAATGCGAGTTTAAATTATTGCGATTATAACCCTGTCGCATTTTTCGCAATAATAAAAACATCGCAATAATTTCTGAATTTACAGTATTAAGTTTCTGTAAAGATCAGTTCAAATTCGTTTTGCTAGTCGGAAAATCCCCTTTTTATAATCCTTAGCACGCCTTATCCTTGCGCGTAAGAAAGTAGGTGGCTTCTGGTCAAGGTTAATCATATAAATCACTGTCAATACATACGCAAATATTGGATTATAAAGAAAGCAATCACGATTTCATACGTCTCGACACCGATTTATCAATATAAAGCATATAAACACAAGTAACTAAAGAAATGTAGGATTAATAACAAGTAAGAAAACAAAGATGTTATTCGAATGCCACATGTTGGCGGAATTTCGTAACGCTAAATCGGCAACTGTCAATTTTGACGGGAATGACGTTACGTTAACACAAAGGTAATACCGCGTTATTGAATGTTCACAACACTGCCCTCCGTTAAAATAGAATTTCGTCTCGAAATTTAAATAATTGCGAAATATTAAATCATTAGATACAATCAAACAAAATCTAAACAAGCACCTGCTATCTCAATAGAATATTAAAATTAAGAAAATTTGTTTTTGTCAATGTTGACTAGATCACGAATATATCACGATTCTTGACACATATAATAATAAAAGTGTACCAATGATATATAAAACAATATACATATAAATAATGTCAACAATTTTGTAGTTTTGTGTCTTTCAATATAATAAAATGTTTTTAAAATTTTCAATGTTTTCTTTGTCCAACAACCATTGTATTATTGGTTCGTCTCTTTTTGTCTTTCTTTCTGTATCCTCTTCTGTTATTTTTTTTTCTTTATGTGTCCTCTTCTGTTCTTTTCTCTTTCTGTGTCCTCTTCTGCTCTTTTCTTCCTTTTTCTCCAATCTTTTTGTGTGTCTTGAGTTACCTGTTTTTCATTCTCAAGTTCTTTCTTAGTTTGGTCTAAATCTGTTTTACGGAAACTTTCTTTCAGTTGACTTATTTTTTCCACCTGACAGAACATATTTCCATCCTCTTTTTTAACTGAAACATTTACAATTTCTTCCATAACTGGAACATTTTGATTTTCTTCTGTTACTGGAACATTCACAATTTCTTCTGTAACATTTACATTTTCTTCTGTAATATTAACATTTTCTTCTTTAACAGGTATATTTTCTTCTGTAACATTTACAGTTTCTTCTGTAACATTTATATTTTCCTCTGTAACATTTTCATTTTCTTCTGTAACATTTACATTTTCTTCTGTAACATTAACTTTTTCTTCTGTAACATTTTCATTTTCTTCTGTAACATTTACATTTTCTTCTTCGCGTTATTGAATGTTCACAACAATGCTTATTGTCTCATTACTTTCAATTTATATGATATTATGATAATAACAAGAAGAAAATAAAATTCAATGGAGGGAAAAAAATTCAAATGGTGATATTTTATTAAAGCAATATAACAATATGCAGGTTGAAATTTGTAAGATTACTGTATACTTTCAGGACAGTTTGAAAAGTTATGTGCAGAGTATTTTTCAAGGAATTATTTCATCATCATTATTGTGTCCAACTAATATGTGTGAAGTATTTTATGCCCTGAAAGATATCGCCCACCACTACTTCAAAGGTATGTACATTGTGGAATACTATAATATCTGGCTGAATATCTGTATGGTTAGATTTGGTTAATTGAGTGTAATGATTTGAGGCTGGAGAGAGGGAGGGTTAGAAAGTAATATTGGAAATTACAAGAAATAAAAAAATAGTGGCAAATGAAATGAAAAAGTAAAATAGTTCTTAGAGAAGATACTAATGAAGTCATGACCTTACTTTCAAACTAACATCCTGTTCTTTTTAGCAATCATATGGTGATTCATTATGGTACTCATTTTCTTAAAATTCCCTGGTACTTAAAATGTTAAATGGTTTACAAATAAACTATCTTGATTTTTGTCGAGCCTGCGACAAAACAGAAAGCTCGACATAGGGATAGTGATCCGGCGGTGGCGGCGTTAGCTAACTTCTTAAAAGCTTTATCTTTTAGAAGGTAGAAGACCTAGATGCTTCATACTTTGTATATAGATGCCTTATGTTACGAAGTTTCCATCTGTCACATGTCCATTGTCCTTGACCTTATTTTCATGGTTCAGTGACTACTGGAAAAAAAAGTTAAGATTTTTTGTAATGTTAATTTCTCTCTTATTATGAGTAATAGGATAACTATATTTGGTATGTGCGTACCTTGCAAGGTCCTCATGCCCGTCAGACAGTTTTCACTTGACCTCAACCTCGTTTCATGGATTAGTGAACAAGGTTAAGTTTTGGTGGTCAAGTCCATATCTCAGATACTATAAGCAATAGGTCTAACATATTCGGTGTATGGAAGGACTGTAAGGTGTACATGTCCAACTGGCTGGTGTCATCTGACCTTGACCTCATTTTCATGGTTCAGTGGTTATAGTTAAGTTTTTGTGTTTTGGTCTGTTTTTCTTATACTGTATGCAGTAGGTCTACTATATTTGGTGTATGAAATGATTGTTTTGTGTACATGTCTAGCTGGCAGGTGTCTTCTGACCTTAACCTCATTTTCATGGTTCAGTAGTCAAAGTTAAGTTTTTGAGTTTTGGTCTTTTTTTTCTAATACTATATGCAATAGGTCAACTATATTTGGTGTATGGAAATATTTTATGATATACATGTCAGTCTTGCTGGTTTTATTTGACCTTGACCTCATTTTCACGGTTCATTGCTCAGTGTTAAGTTTTTGTGTTTTGGTCTATTTTTCTAATACTATAAGCAATAGGTCAACTATATTTGTTGTATGGAAGGATTGCAAGCTGTATATGTCTGCCTGGCATGGTTCATCTGACCTTGACCTCATTTTCATGGTTCATTGGTCAATGTTTAGTTTTCTTGGTTAAGTCTGTATCTTAGAAACTATAAGCAATAGGTCAACTATATTTAGTGTATTGAATGATTGTAAGGTGTACATGTATTTCTTGTTTGGTTTATATGACCTTGACCTCATTTTCTTGGATCATGTTAAGTTTATGTGATAGTTGTAGTAAAGCTTTATTTTTAGGACTATCAACATAATATCAATGATTAGTAGAGAAGGCGAGACATTTCAGCGTGTGCCCTCTTGTTAATATTTAAGAATGACATGGTGAAATATAAATTGAATATTTGTATGTAGATAAAAGAATTGAATTGAATAACATGGTTGATATATATTTTAGAACTAAAATCATGTATGTGTTCAACTATTTTTCTTGTGATTTTATTTAGCAGTTCAAAAAACCAGTGAAGAAATCAAATTTGCTCAGTTTGAATGCAGATAAATTTAAGGTAAAGTCACCTGAAGCCATCTGAGCAATATTGATTTCAACACCTAACAAATATTTAAATAGTTCTGGGTAAAATTAAAATCAAAAGTTGCAAGAAAATAAAGTAACACTTACATGAGGGTATAACAACTGAAATATTTGTAGATTCCAGTGAAGTTAGATATCAGGCTGTCAGTGGATTTGTTTTCCTCAGATTCTTTGCTCCTGCCATTTTAGGACCAAAACTTTTTGATCTCAGAAATGATACTCAGGTAAATAGAATATCTTTGCTTGCAAGGACTAAGATCAGTTAACTTAAGTGAACAGATATGGAGTTTAAAACAGTGGTTAATTATGTGTATTTGTTGAGTTTCTTTGATTTCATATACATTTAAAGATCTTACTCCTCATTGAAAAGTTGACTCTTGAAATCTCTAAGAAAAACAAGCAACTATTTTCTTGCTGTCAAAGATATACATATGCCATAGAGCTTAAAAGCTGAAAGGCTAGAATCAATAATTGAAAATTTATTCATTTTTATTGTTTGTTAAATTTCAGGACAGTATTGTTAATCGGACATTAACATTAATATCCAAAGCAATACAAGGATTAGGAAATCTAGTCAGTTCTAAAACGGTAAGTCTAAATACAAAAATGTATCAAACATTATGTTTGATGAAATAGATCTTTTTTCATTATTTTTTTTCATGTTAAGCCTGCTACATTTTTTGAGGAAACCGGACATAGGGATCCTACATTCTGTCTTCTGTGTTGACCACATTTAGTTTCAGTTTGTGGTTAATGTTTATTTAAACATCAATAACTTTTTCAAACCTCATGGAATTATGAAAGAAGATTTTTATGATTTAAAGGCAGTATACAGAGCAAAATTTTGAAAAGATTTTTATTCAATTTTGTCTTCCCTGTGAGGAAATTCACAATATGCGGGACATAGGGATTACAATCCAACAGCAATGGCGTAAGCTATTTGTATAAAGCTTTATATTTCAAAAGGTAGAAGACATGAATGCTGCATCCCTTGTATGCAGATACCCTATGTTACAAAATTTCTGTCTGTCATATGTCTATTGTCCTTTACCTTATTTTCATGGTTCAGTGACTGCTTGAAAAAAATTATACTTTTTTGTCATGTGAATTTCTGACTTATTATGAGTAATAGGATAACTATATTTGGTATATGGGTTCCTTGCAACATCTACACAACTGTCAGACAGGGTTCACCTAACCTCAACCTCATCTCATGGATCAGTGATCAAGGTCAAAGTTACATGATTAGGTCTGTTTCTCAGATACCTTAAGCAGTAGGTCAATTAAATGTGGTGTATGGAATGAATGTAAGGGGTACATGTCAGTCTGGCAGGTTTCATCTGACCTTGACCTCATTTTCATTGTAAATTGGTCAATGTTAAGGTTTTGTCTTTTGATCTGTTTTTCATGTGCCATAAGCAATAGGTCAACAATATGTGATGTATGGAATGATTGTAAGGTGTACATTTTGGTCTAGTCTGTATCATCTGACCTAGACCTCATTTTCATGGTTTATTGGTCAATGTTAAGTTTTTGTGTTTTGATCTGTTTTTCAAATATTAATAGCGATAGGTCAGCTATATTTGGTCGTATGTTTACATAGCTGTAATCTCTTTTGAAAATGATTAGGTAACATAAGAAATACATCTGATTTGAATTTTTATCAATAAAAGTCTGCATCTTTTGAACTTCAAGACATCAGGGTTAATTTACATTAATTTTACATCGACGGGACTATAAAATTTACTCTACTTAACCGAGTATTCAAATCAACCAAGTTCGACTTAGAGGTAAATATGCATTGATCAAACAGGATTGTTACTGGGACCGAGAAATTACTTAGACTCTTCCGATTTTTTCAACACAACCGAGTTCAGTACAAATAGGTTATACTGAAAAAAATCTAAGATTTTTTATTTTAGTTTAGGGTATTTTATTGTATTTTTATGGCTAATCACCTCATTTCCTCATTTTTCAGTTATCCTATGGGTTAAAGGAAGATTATATGGTGCCATTATTTCAATATCTGTCTCAGCCATCACACATTGAAGCCGTCCGTATGGTAAGTGTTAAAACAAATTGAAGCAAGCACTTCATTAGTTGAAAAAGAATTTCATGGTTGACAAATTTTTTACTCACATGTTCTTTATTAGTGGAACAAGGTTTAAGTTTTACAATAACACCACTTGATTTTGGGTTTGGGCTATGTATTTTAGTTTTAGGATTTATAAGCCATAAAAATCACTGGAAATTGGAACATCATCTGAAAACTAGGATTGTAGGTATAAATTGCATAAGTTACCAGCATGACGATGTCAAACACTCTTTCTACCCTGAAAATTTCAGAAATATCTAACGAAATGTGTTGAAGTAATTGCCTTTGAAATATTCATTTCAAAAATATATGAGGTAGGGTAAAAGAAAAAAAAAGGTTCTTTGCTGTTGAAATTCCAGGTGAGCGATACATGCTCAGTTAACCATCTAATTTCATAAAGTCTTTGAAGTTTTTATATGAGTTGAGGAAGATTTAAGAAAGTTTCTGAATGTTTCACTTAAGCACAACTTCTATTGCCCATCTTTGACTCCTCACACCCCTATAAAAAAGGACAATAGTCCTCTATTTGGTGATACTTCTAAAGATGGATGATCTTTGATTGATCGCTATGAATATATATCCAATGAACAAGAGATGTTATTGCATAGATCCTGTGACTTGCTTGAAAATGTTTTCCACCTAAAAACACAAAAACAGGATTGGAGAATGGATGCAAGCATTAATTTACATTTGGAATTGGGAGATTGATGAATACACTTTTAAAAAATGTTGCATATAAATACATGTTTATTACTATGAGTTTTAAATTGAGTTTTGATTATTGCAATACTTGTCATGTCACAATTTTCACAATAGTACATGAGGGTCTGGATGGGGGTCCTGCATTTCTGTAGTTTATAATTTTTTAGGCCATTTTTCTCTATTCTTTATACTTTTTACCTATTATTCTCTATTCTTTATATTTTAGCACCTCATTATTCTCTTTTCTTTATTTGTTTGGTTCATTTTTCTCTATTCTTTATATGTTTTGCCGATTACTCTCTATTCTGTAAACCCCCATGCACTCTCTCGTACATGTTACAGAGTTTGCAGTAGTTTGTGTGATTTAATATTGTGTACTTTTTTTTTCAGTATTTAGACATCATATCATCTGCAGCAAGAGCAAGAACACAAAATGTTTCCGGTGAAGCACCCATTATTCTCAAAGAAGGGTTAGTTTATGTACATATTCTTTCTTAAAAGGAATAAGTTGCATTCCATATTATATACTGTGGATTAATTACTTATGAGGGAGTATTAATTTTCGATGATTTTGTTGCTAAAATTACTCACAACTTTAAATGTTAAACAAAATATACCTTTCATTTTGATTTGTATGCAGACTTTGTAAAACCACAAGACATGTATCCACAAATGCACATTTTTTCTTTAATTCATGAAAATAAATCATTGTGTGTGGCATTCATTTGTGTCTTGTATATTAATCTAAAGGATTTATATAAAAAGATAAGCGAATATTTTGAATGCTACTTTTCTTTTCAGGACATTAATCAAAAGAGCTCAGGGGCGTAAAAGAATACTTAAAGTGAAGAACTTTAAAAGAAGACATTTCTGTTTGACAAATCAAAAACTCTCCTATTCAAAAAACAGGGGAGACAATCCGTTATATGAAATCCCTATAGAAGATATTCTGGCTGTGGAAACACTGCAAGAAGAATCTTTCAAAATGAAATATGTAAGTAACTGTTTTAAATAACTTTTTATCTGTCTTCAAGGAATGAGTTTGACAGCCAGAACCATTCATCTGAGAGACCATCTTCTTACAAGTAGTACATTCTGTATAGATTGTTGAAGTGTTGGATTCAATAGCAGCAATAATGGGCAATCTCAGAGACTTACTTTATATTCATATCAAATACCATCATTTCAATAACAATGAGAAAAGTTTCAAAAAAATTGAGAAAGTTTGGACAAATGAAATTATTTTCATACATAATATGGAAGTCATTCTTTTAGGATGCAATAAAATGTCACAGTTGAAGCTTTTGTGGCTTTGATATTGTAAATTCTTGTGTGTCATATTCTCACTCTGTGGTTCTCTCCTGGTACTTCAGTTTCCTCCTTCAATAAAAACTGGCTGCCATGATATATTTACTGTCAATAAAAATGGCTTCAAACACCAAAAACAATTAAAAAAACTATCATATTCTTACTTTTCCAAGGTATGTCCAAAATCAATAGTATATAGAAAATGTACTGTGATTGAAAAATAGATCCTATGTTCATGCTTCACTTTCAAAGATATGAAATTCCTCTGTTCTACCTTCTGTTCTGTTAATTTTTACAACAACCAATGAAATTCATGCTTCCAAATTTGTTTAAGGTGTATCATTACAAAAAAATCTGAGTATCCTGAAAAGGTTTTCAAAACAGAAAGTAGAACAAAGCATTGTCAGATCATGTAAGGGAAGGGTGGACTCGGGATCTGTATGCTAATCAGATTGTAGATAGATGTACCACATAAATATCAATTAGTCTAAACTGTTACATAGAATAAATAGTGTAAGGTTCAACACACATACAATGATAAATTGATTATGAATTTATACATTAAATATACATGTATATAATATATTTATTATAGTTTTTATATAGATTCTAATGAGAGGTGGATTGATAAATGTTCTTTTTTTTTTTAGATGTTCCAAGTGATTCAGCCTGAGAGAGCTTTGTATATCCAAGCAAATAATTGTGTTGAAGAGAAAGAATGGTAATGTTATGTATTTGTTAGACTTGGGGGGGAAAAAGAATGGATATGCATCACATATTGTCAAATTCACTTTTAATAAAACAAAAAATGAACTTGAAGTTTTGAAGTTGAAGAACATATGTCAATTTAACAGAGAAACTTTAGATGCACCATTAAAACAATTTACTTATTTTTGATAAAAAATAATTTAAAGATTTGGATGGCAAGTTTGAACAAATATAAGGGAATTTGCTTGCAAGTAGGAATCTGTTTCAATTATAATTATTCAGATTTCTTGACAGTAAAAATACAAGCTTTAAAATGATTTTTAGTGAGAACATATATTACTTATGTTAGTTTCTTTGTTTGTTTTATAGTAAAGAAAATTGTAAGGTAATTGGTATGCAAAAATCAAATGTAGCACATTTATAAAATGCTCTGAATTAATATATTTCTGGCTGTTGGTAGCACATTTTGTTTTATTTTGATGTGCAACACATATTTTGCTGTGTGAAATTTACTAACAGTTTTTCATCCAGGTCACTCTTTAAACGCAATCAATCATTAAAATTCTGAAATAACAATTAATTTACAAAACTTTGTATTTTTTTCTGCCATAGTCGGAAATCATTCACATTGGTAAATCTTTGAAGTTTTTGATGACACAAAATCATAGTTTATTTTGATAAAATCTGTTAGAATATATAGGGGATTTTATTTCCTCTCTCTTTCTTTTTCTTGTTTTTTGGGTTTATACAATGTTTTTTTTACATTGTCAGGCGAATTACTATGATTTTTGGGAAAATGGTAAAAGTAGACCCATTATATTTTAGTTGAATTTCAGTTATTTTTCACTAGAATTAATGTGATAAACAGCATTGCTTAAAATATCCTGGATTAACTATCAACTCAAAAGTATGAAGAGGTACATTTGAATAGATACATCAGGAGTAATTTCATCAAAATTGTCCTAGGTCCAAATAGCCAATACCTTCTTCAATTAACTTTTTCTGAAAAGGTTATTCAAGAAATAATTAAAATGGAATCTGTGAAAACTAACATTTAGTTTTGTAGTGTAACCTTATAATGCCCTTGATTGTGTTGTGTGCTCAGTATAAGGTTGGCAAGTTTGTCTATTATTATGTGTGATAAATTATATATATATATACATTATACTGATACATTGTATTGCTAGAAGCGGACCTCAAAAGTTGGTTTACAACTATAGAACCAAGAAGCTTGAATTATTTTATAAATATTAAATGTAAATTATGATTTCTGTGATAAGCATAATATGATACAGATTTATGATATAGGTTAGATGCTATCAGCTTCAACTTCATTTTATGAACATACATTTGTATTTTTGACAGTTTTAACTGTTGTAATTAATTTACTTAAAGAAAAAAAGCGATTTCTTCTTCTTCTGGGATTTCTTTATAGAAAGACCTAAAAGACATTTTAAAAATATAAGGGATGCTTTCCATTATCAAGTTTAAATCCCTGAAACATATGACATGTTTGAGGTCCAAAAAAGGAAAGAAATGTACAATGTTTTTTTATAAATCCATTCAAGCATAGTCTTTTAAAACTCATTTCAGTTGTGGATCATGTTTTTACAGTTTGTTTATTTATATTTAATTGTACAAACAAGTTACAGAAATTTCATGAGAGCTAAAGCTAAAAGAGACTAAATGTCTGTTTGTCATGAAACCCATCCCTCTCTCTGTCCCTCCCTTACAAAATTGCTATTGAAGTAAATTTTAAACAAATCTGCAACAGTTTAATTCTTTCAGGTTTGTAAATTCTTATCTTAACAATTTTTTCTTTAGGTTGGCCATTTTAACAAAAGTGTGCAACAGAAACAAGAATCGACTTAAGACATTCCATCCAGCAGCTTATATCAATGGACACTGGTTATGGTAGGTTTGGGCTGTACTATACAGTTATAACTTGTCTGTGATTTTTGATTTGGAATGAAAAACAATTGGCATTGAACTATTTTTTCACTTATGAATACTTTTTCCTAGTGATTTATACATAATTGTGGTTAGTCAGATGGCAGGGAAGTTGGCTGTTTACCTTTACAGCATGTTATTTTTTTTTTTATTATGATTAGATGGTCCAAATTTCTCTTTAATAATTTATTTGACATCATGGATTAATTTTAAAGTTTTTGACACAATATATTACAAGTATCATATGACTTAAATTAACGGTGGTAAGAAGATAGAATATTATGATTGTCACATGACTTTATTTACAGTGGTAAGAAGATAGAATATTATGATTGTCACATGACTTTATTTACAGTTGTAAGAAGATAGAATGTTATGATTGTCACATGACTTTATTTACAGTTGTAAGAAGATAGAATCCTCCTGTGAAGGTTGTACACCCGTGTCTGGTGGTCTACATGCTACAGATATTCAGGTCTCTATTGATTCAGATAGAGAAGTGGAGAAAATACATTCCCAGTTCTTAGCTAATAGAGAAAAATTAGAGGCCATGCAAGGTAGGACAGAATCAGTGGTTGTTGTGAAATGTTCATAACATTTTTGTTCGCTATGGAGATTCCTTATATCGTCAGGTTATCGGAATTCCCATGGGGACTAACTGTGCACCACTTATTGCGGACCTGTTTCTGTATTGTTATGAGTTACAATTTATGACTAAAATCAGCAAAGACCCATCGAAACAATATCTTATTCAAAAATTTAATAACACTTTTAGATATTTAGATGATATATTGGCTCTCAATAATGACGACTTCAGTATGTACACTAAAGAGATTTATCCTGCCGAACTGACTTTAAATAAAGCTAATACTAACAATGAACACTGCCCTTTCCTGGATCTTGATATCTTTATCTTTAACGGGAAGCTTAATACCAAAATTTATGATAAAAGAGATGATTTTTCATTTCCTATTGTTAATTATCCATTTTTAGATGGTGACGTTCCCTTGTTCAATTCGCTCGTGTATGTAACAACGTATTTGATTTCAACGAAAGAAATCTCTGTATTACTGAAAAGTTATTACACCAGGGTTTTCGATATCACAAACTAGTCAAAACATTTACTAAATTTTATCATCGGTACAAGGACATCATACGTAAATATAAATCAACATGCAGACATCTTATACGTTCAGATATTTCACATCCAATATTTTATGGTAATATTCTTTACAAAGCACAAAAATGTCGGCATTCGCCTCAAAAGCTAACCAAACCTTTAAACAGACTTATTTGGAAAGGATATAGTTACGATACTGTTGTAAAGTCATTAAGGATTGCATATTTTGGTATTAATATTGATTCACTCATAGGGTCTTTGCATCGGAAATAAACACATTTATTCTAAAACCAGTTGTTGGCATCATACAGGTTATGTTCTTCTCATATATTTTATGATGGTATGATACTAAACCCCTAATTGGAGGGATTGTACTTGATTTTCATATGATGAAGACATAAGCTTTCAATCAGTTTAATTGAGGTCTGGAGCTGGCATGTCAGCAACTGCTAGTAGTCCTTTGTTCATTTATGTATCATTGTCATTTTGCTTAGTTACTTTTGTTACCTATTCTGACATCGGACTCGGACTTCTTTTAAACTGAGTTTTACTGTGCGTATTGCTATGTGTTTCTTTATTCTACATTGGCTACAGGTATACGGGGAGGGTTGAGATCTCACAAAACATGTTTAACCCTGCCGCATTTTTGCACCTGTCCCAAGTCAGGAGCCTCTGGCCTTTATTAGTCTAGTATGTTTTTTAATTTTAGTTCATTTATATGTTTTGGAGAGTAGTGTGACGTCCATTTTCACTGAACTAGCACACAATTTTATTTAGGGGCCAGCTGAGGACCACCTCCGGGTGCGGGATTTTCTCGCTGCATTGAAGACCCATTGGTGGCCTTCGGCTGTTATCTGCTCTTTGGTCGGGTTGTTGTCTCTTTGACATATTCCCCATTTCCATTCTTAATTTTATACGTTTCAAATAGAGTCAGATATGAAAAACTGTCTTTGAATTTAATATAGAAGTTAGTTTAGATAGTGCATAAGGGGTGTACACCTCCTGTTTTATTTAAAAAAAAATCTTAAAATGAAAATATTCCAAGTAGTTGAGAAAATTTAAATGTCCAGTGATCAGTTTCACAAAAAATCTTACGAATTAAGTTGATCGTAAGTCATGAACAATTCAGTATACTTAGGTCGTGAGATTTTTTGTGAAACTGATCACAGGTTAACATATTCTAGAAACACACTAGAAAATCAAATATTTCTCTGGAGTGCTTGGTTCTTAATATGGTGACAAGAAATAATTAATAAAAGTGTGTTAGATCCTTAGTTTTTCATTCAAGAAAATTTGTTTATACTTATTACATGATTATGTGCTAATGATTTAAATTTTACATGATGAGAAAGTTAATTTCAAAATGTTTTGAATAAATTTGATAAACAATAAGTATTTCCATTTTATCATTAAATACAAATGATACTAATTTGGTAATGCTTTTAGCTGTCATGGAACGGAGGGGTAAGATGTTTTGATAGTGTAATGATTTATAATGTTTGATGTATTACTTAATTTCACCTGATTGGTCATCAGCTAAATTGCTATGTGATTAAAGAAGATTCTTATAATTTTAAACAAGAACACACTAATCATTGAGTTTAATTCAACTGTAGAAAAATTGTTTATGAATTTAAATTAGTTGATTGTGAAATAATCATAATAATGTACCGAATTAAAATTTTTCTATAAAAAAAGAATAATCTTGGATTACATAGTATTCAAATCGTACATACCCAGTCTGGTGAAATTCATAAAGTAACATTGTATAAATTTGTTGTTGCCCCTAGTTAACCTTATTCTAGGTATCAGTTTTTTAATACACTTGTATATTTTGTTATGATATATTTGACAACTGCCCATCAATAACAGAAAATAGAAATTCAATCAACATGACTGCAGTACGGGAGTGTCCAAGGGACCAAGGGTATTGTTATATTGATCTGAAATCAGATGATAGACTTTCAATGGTATATTTAAATGTGGTGCAATAAATTCCACAAAAGTTTTAATTGAACTAACTATTATTGCAATGACTTGGAGATATTTGGCTGATACTAATGTAATAGAAAGTTAAAGAATTTCATATTGTTTGACATACTTTTGTTAGGATACAGGACATCTACTGCTTGTTACCAATATTTAAATAGCGCAGACAGGGAAAGTTCTCTTTTTACTTTCTTTTTGTTTTTTTTTAGTTATTATTTTCATTAGAAATATGATACCTAGGCTACCTATATTTTCTTTGTAAATAAGTCAATTCATTTATTTAAGTTATATAATATCAACAAAATGAATAGACTTGGACCAAGAAATCACCAGACCACTGTATCTATATTAAGCTTTATGCAACTTGCATTATTTTCTTCTTAATTGTTCATATTTACTGGAGAAAAATTAAATTTCAATTTCTAATATGTGCACTTAAAAATTCTTTTATATACTGTAACTTACTAATTCATTATTTAAAACCAATTCAAATATGTTTTTGGTGCTTTATCTAATGTTGTGAGAAAGGTGGAAATTTTTTCCTTTATTCGAGGCTTAGTTCAGGTCATAGCTGCAAGATTTTTTGCAATGCTTAAGCTTTTGTTTTGAAGGCTATAAATGAGACAGAAAGTAAGGTTGTTTTTGGCTCTTTTAGATGTAAAGTAATTTACTTTTTAAGAGCTTTGAATTCTTGATCTTCCCTGATGATCAAATTACAGTAGAGGAAATATTCAAGATTTTATCTTAATTGCAAAGTAAGCAAAAAAATTACCCATCTGAAAATTCCAGTTTTACAGTAAAACATTACTTAAAAGCATGATTTGATTTAACAAATTTCTAATAACCAACATTTGAATAGGAAGTAAAATCATATGTTTTACAAGCATATTATCGATTATTTTAATAATATTACAGATGCATGTGCTGATCAGGAAGTATACACAGGGGAAGATAACTACCAACATCCTTACATCGAAGACACAAAGACGTGTTTTGTTACACTGAATGAAGTACTTAAATGTGTCATAAGTCTGGAACAGGAACACATGCAATACAGAAAAAATAAACAACGGAATACAGTCATTGGTTCAATGTAAGTAATAGGAAATTTAGCCTCACAATCAACATGTCCTTTACATCTGTGAAGAGTTTTTGCTCAGGTACTTTATTGAACAGAATATTTTCCTTACATTTACTTTAGGTTTTAAATGAATTTTTAAGTACATCTAAATGAATGACACTAAACAGAGGTCTTACCACTAGACAAATATCAGCACTACTTTTGTGTCAACTATACTGACGGACTTTAAAAATGCAACACTAGATTATTCTTTTTAATTCTCATGTTCACATATGCAATTTTTGTAAAATAAATGTATGAAAATAAATTTCATTCATTACTACATTGTCTACATTGTCTAAAAAAATGTTTGCAGTTTGAAAGTTGAATTGATTATGTCATGGTCAATGTTCAAATCATGTGGTATGCACTAAAACACTGGATTTCTCCTTATCAATGAACGTTTCACCGTCGAAGGCAATGACTGCCTGTAACCAACATCTAAATGATTGACAAAAAGTTCAACCTGTTCTGTTGGCCATGTTTTTAGTTCTGTTTTGAACCTTCTGATTTGGCCTCTGTTCCATCCATTACAGTGGGTTTTGGCAATTTTGCAGTTTAAACTTTAGGGCTTTAAATGTTTTTCTACAGTCGATTCTTTAGCATTTCAGTATATGGGAAACATTTATGGCATGAATCAGTCTGTCATGGCATTCGACGACTTGATTAGCAGTTGACGTTGCGGCATAAGCATGGCTTGCAAATTACATTGTGTAATCAAATTTTATTGACTTGTCATTGTTGCTACATATTGATCTGGTCATGGGTGGTTACAACATATCCTGTCTGCCCATACCTTTGTTGTAAGGACAGTAAGAGGAGTTTCTGGCGTGAAATTGTCTAGCAACAGCACATTCATGTATTCCTGCCTGCAGTTGATATTATATTCCAGAGCTTTTTCTTATCATGATTTCCTTGAAATAGGATAAATGATTATTGAACCAGAAGTTCTCAATTTAATTTATTGAAGTCTTTGAAAATTTTATATACACAATCATGATTTCATGACCACAGATATGTTCCACTTATAGTTGATTGCCAACTTTTTTTATCAGTATTAATTATTGCATAAGTCAATGTCTTGTTTAATGTTATTATAAATATCTTTTCAGAGATGCACCGTTTGGTGATGAAAGTGTTGTATCCTACCAAGAAAATTCCCGGTTATGACGTAATTCCCACCGTGATGTTCTCATGTTTTATTTTGTATGTGTTCAAAAGATGTCAAAGATCAAATTGCCATTTGAAATTACCAGAAATGGATATTTATAGTTATTATATAAGTTCAAAATGAAGGGTATACTCTGCAATATTTCTATTAACTGCAACCTTGACAAAACAAGGCTACACTTTTTTTTAAGATTGAAACAAATAATCTTGCTATTTTAGCTTATAATTAATCAAATTTAAGATTTTATTACTCCAAAAATAAATGTCTTCTGATGATATGAGTCTTGCATCAAGGTTAAGCTAAGGCTTCATTTAGAGTTTATATATGGAAAAATAAAATTTAATTCCACATTCTTCTTGAAGATTTTACAAAAAAATCAGTTTTGAGATGTACACTTCAAGTTTGCATAGAAAACTACACCTCAGAGACTTACTGACTGTACATGTGTAATTAGTGTTACATTTGTGCTATGTAATTTGTTAAGTGCTGGTAATTCATAAATTTTGTGCCATTTTTTAATTATTTTTTTGGTGGATTTTCAATCTTTACAATTTTTATATCAATAAACAAAGTACAATTAATATTTAAAACTGGTGTGAAAACAAATTTGGAAAGGGGAATCCATCTTTCAATTTATTTATTTTGTTGTTCTGTGTCTCATTCTAAGTTTTTCATAGAAACATTTGAAAATTCAAACTTTTCTTAACTTATTTCTATGAAATAAATTCCTGATATTTTTTTATTTCCAACTTGAACTTGGATTTTGTACCTTCTCTTTTACTTAATAGAGATGCCTTTTTGCATCTCTGGAAAGGGCTTCTTAAGTTGAATATACATTAAAATGTCAATATTTTTGTGGAGATTTTCAAGATTGTGTTCATGCTTGTTTACTGATGACAAACGTTTTTTTCTAGTTGAACTTAAACATAATGCATATGTATTTTTAGTTCGCGAGAAGGCATTATAATTCTGTTTGTAATGAATGCTATTAAAATAAATGATTTCCTTTCTGTGTTAGGGAATACATGTATTAATTTTAAAAAAAAGAAACTTAATATTTAAAAATGGCATTTACTGAAATATAACATTTTGAGCTTTAAATGGCATAAAGAAATGTTGAAATATCACAAAAAAAATACTGCATTTTTTATTGGCATTGTTATTACTTGGATTTAAAATACATGTAGCACTCAAACTTAAGTTTCAGATCAGGGTTAGAACTATCAAACCAATGTGTATTTAATGTAATGCACTGTCAAGTACTTTTTAAATAAGGATGAATTAAAAAAATTAATATATTTTTGAGATCATTTTTAATTATTTATTTGTATCAAAATTTGTAGTTTGCCATTTTGAGGACTATGAAGAAGAATGTTGTTTTTTTAAGTTTATATTTCACTTTCCAATATTTTTGTTAAAAAAGAAAAAAATAATTAAATTTTTTTAGGTTATTAAGACCATGAAAGATAACTATGTGTTTATACAAAACTATTTATTTTTATCCTTACACAAGCTCTACCCTTACCCATAATCTGACCCAAACCTTAATAATGCTAAGCCAAACATTATAAATGAAACCCTTAGCCAAAAGTACAGAGTCTTTTAAGGTAAATGCAAATTATAAAGTAGTGGTACTTCAAATGCTTTGACTGTAATTTGTTTTTACAATTTTGACCGTACTATCTTAAAATATTTAAATGGCTTTATTTTAATTATTGTTTTATTCATTGAAAAATGTATTTATGACATGTCTGTCACTTTACATCTATTAACATTCATGAGAAAACCCTTGGGTTTATTACACAAGCTGTATCCTAGTCTTGTTCAATTTTCTTTTAGTTACCGTAAAACAAACCTTTAAGGGGAGGGTCCTATTTTGAAAGAGCAACATTCATCAACTGTTATCACTCTTAAAATTATGCTTTTGTAAATTAACTTGACCTTTTGACACATGTCTAATTTTCTGAAATGGCAGAATGTAATTTTTGTTATAAGTAGTAGCATTTCAAGCATGAAATGGAAGTTGTTATGCATAATCAACTTAATTTTGGTTTATGAAGATGTATTTTCATTAAATGGCATTTTTTTTCTTCAGAGATTCCTTACATGTATATGCTTTGTCATATATTTTTGTATCATTACAAATGACATCCTTTTGTATATATTTTATTCTAACGACACAAATTATATGTATTTTTTAAATTTGTTACTGTCAGTATTCCTTTTCTTTGTTATTGTTTATTTGTAAATAGAAAACTTTTATTTTGTTATTTTGTCATCTGATTTTATCATAATATGTGTAAACATTATAGTAGAGCCTGCTCTATTTAAAAACATATTTGTGGAAGGCACTAACATTTCTTGTATGGGCCACAGTATCAAAACTTCATTCTCAGTATAAATACAGAACAATGTCTAAACCTTACTGCTTCTACAGCAGTGTGCCTTTATTGAGTCAACTTTTTTAATGGCGCTGGGTGATGATTGTCGTTGCCCGACTTTAAAGAACGTCATTTTCGATGTTGTGTAATGTAAAAGCAGTAAAACATGTTTAAAGGGGGATTACTCGATCTTATCTTTTTAAAATAGGATTTTATAACGGAATCGTAGCACAGTTTTTACCAAAATTGGACAGAAGCTTCTTACAATCAAAAGATTGTATCGAAAGGAATATTGTTCTTATTTTTTTTCCTCATTTTTGTTGAGCCTGCGATTAACAGCAAAAGTAGGCGAGACACTGGGTTCCGCGGAACCCTTATGAATTTTTTTTCTTGGTAATTTCAGTGAAAATGTTAATCAAAATAATTGAAACAAAAAGGAGGATGTATGATAAGAGCCCTTTTATTATTTGTCCCTTAAAATTATTAAATTGTTGAAGCCAGTCAAAATGATGTTGATTTATTGAGGAATAAATAGGATGAAAAATCTAGGCATCTTAATGCTGAAATATCAATTGTGATGTCACTATGATGTCATAACATGTCGAAATTGACAAATATGACCATATAGTTTTGGGGTCAAAAAAAGATACAAGCCACAGCCTTACCTAAAAAGATATTTTATCTACAGTGAATATGTAATTTTGTAGCAAAATAAACTTTTGGGTTAAGTTCTTGGCTCATATCTAAATATCTCAAAGTGAGTGTTTTTTGGCAAGCATACTTGTATTGTATTTAAACTTCATTTTTATTTCTAGCTGTTGACAGTTTGCTTTTAAGACATTTTTATAGATATGTAAAGTCTTTTTTGGTTGAATTAACTTTGGACAAGTTCATTATTCAATGGTAGATATGTTGTTTTTTTTTCCCTCAGAAAACATTACTTTGACTGTTTTGTTTATTGACTTGCTTATGTTTTACATTTCACATGAAGAGAATTTGCAACAGGTAGTTGCACTTCAAGTCGGACTGATTTAATTTATGATATAATGCAATATAAGGGATAAAATTATTCTTTATTATTAAAGGTATTTCATGTGCACCTGGCTTAATTATTTTTATTAGATTGTTTTTACTCCTTTCAAGTTGGTGCAACAATTGTTTTCACCATATTTTCTTGAATTGTTTTAGTATTTGTTATATGTCTGTTGAAAGATATTGTACAAAATTTGATTAATAAAAACTTTAACAAAAAGGATTTCTTTAAATTATTAAATACTCATTTGGCAAGGTATAACATTATCAAAATCTTACTTTTGATTCAGTTTGGACAGAAAATCATTCTCTCTTCTATTGTGTTGTATTCAAGGACATCTGAAAGGAGAGCAGTTTGCCATTTAATTTCTCAAGTCACGGACACAATGCTAGATAGCCACTGTATAGGTGTGTAATATACAACATGAAGAATATCATAGACATCTTTGTTTGGGAGCCAAGTTTTACAATATGGGATGGTTGATTTTTTTAGTTGTGTGGGTATGAAAATCTACCAGTGTCTATTTTTATTTTCCTTATAGAAAATAAGAATTGGGCATAAAATCTATTAAATATTAAATAAATTGTCATATTGGGAGTCATCAGTGGTGTACTGATAGAATGACAAAAAAACACAGGAAAAAAACTCCAGGAAAACACAAGATAGTTGGATGGATCCAATAAAAATAACCTGCATAGATCATGATATTCCAAGAGTTTTGGTACTGCCATTCTTGCAATTATAGGTTTTGCTACCTTTTGGCTACAAATAGACTGTGATAAAAAAAAATCTTATCCCAGTTGGTAAAGGTGTTTTGAAATATAGTGATTTTTTCTGTAGTTTTTACATTGCTTTACCTGCCACCTGTATTTTCACCTTCAACAATTTAAAGCATATGAACACCTAAAAAAGTTCACATGAACAACTTTTCATCTTGATTGTCATTTATATGACATACAAAAAGAAAAGAGAAAACATATGAAAATAATCAGATGTGGTAAAATGTTCAATATTAAATTTTAGATCCTGATCTTCATATATGCGACATATAAAAGAAAGGGAGTAAACTTGCATGTTGGGATGCAGTGTACAACTAGAACACATTTTATTAGGATAATCAAATACATACATTCAATTTATTACCAAATCCAATACGCCACTAATGGATAAGTGATATATTGATATATGGAACACATATTTTTTTGCTTAGCACAGATGGATGTCAATTACTTTTAGCTCACCTGATCCAAAAGGGGTCGAGGTTGGGGGGGATTGACAGAGGAATTGTGTATTTTTTAATGATTAGAAACTTATTTCTATATAGTTATTTACTTAATTTTAAGGAAAATGGATACTGTTAACACTGAAATTGGTTCAGGTTGCATTGGTTATTATATGCCCTAAGAATTTGTTTGACTGATAATACCATTGTTTAGAATACACATACAAAATGTAAACATCAATACTCTTCACATAACATAAATTTATTGATTTGCATTAACTGAATTTAAAATTTGACTTTATCAGAAACTTCAATTTGATTTGTCAATCTTACAGTATTTGTTTTGTTTATGAATGGATTTGACCATTTATTTTTTACTTGTGGAAAATTAGGAAATTTTATGGGATGTTTGGAAAAGGTAGTCATGGATTGAATATAAAAATTTTTGGGCTTACCGGGTATGTTTTGTTTTGTCTATGGATATTTACATTTGTTGTATTTTACATGTAGATTGGACACTTTGTAACAGGCAGTTAAATTTCAGTTCTTATTTTGTCTAACCTGGATTGAATGTTGTTTGGGAAGATAAATGAGGGTCTAGATGGGGTTTACAGAATAGAGAACGATAGACAAAAAGTGCAGAATAAAGGGCAAAATAAATAAAGAATAGAGAAAAATGGTATAAAAATTAAAGAATGTAGAAATGAAGGAGCTCCCATCAAGACCCTCATAATACATGTAACTTTCTATTGTTCATGATAGTTTCATTCTTAACACTGACTTAAGTTTCAGATTTTATATCTCAATTTCAGAATAATTACTCATGTTAGACCAATGATATTTGGTATATAGTTGCTTTATTACTTCAAGCTGTATATGTGGTCACCCCTATTATTAATAAGCTCCAGTGACTTAAAATTTACAATGTTATATAATACGATGATAACATTTATTAAAAGTGCTTTTCTAGACCTTTGCTATTTTTCATGCTTTTACATTAACATTAGTGTATTTGTCTTTTACATGAAATTGGGGATACTATCATCTCAGTCATGCTTCAGTGGCTTAACTTATTGCATTGTCCAAATGTTAAAATTTTCCTATGGGGATTATTTTTTTCAGACAAACTTGCAGAAAACTGTACAGCACTCATGCATTCTAATGTCAAACTGATATGAGATTCATTTACTTTAATCATAAATAATTGACTGCAAAATGTGTACATGGCGCGCGCTTCATATTGTGGATTTATTAATATTCGTGGGATACCAATTTTTAGTGTATTTTGTGGATTTAGGTGAATGCTTAAACCTTAAAATTTGTTGGTCAAAATGTGAAAACCTCAGGAGCTATATGGTCATAAAGTACCTAAAAGGAATAGCCAAATCAACATAAGGCCAACCTCAGTTTCTAAATAATTTCTGAATTTATCAGCAAAGAATTCAAGAGGAGTATATAATAAATCATGTCAAAACAAATGCACTGACTAAGTGCTGATGATGCCCTCATGGAATAAAAGCATTGTATCAGTGGTATTGACCCAGTGATAGAAAATGAAAATAACATTTTGTAAGTTTTAATTGTGCTTCTGAATCATTTAATTAATTCTATTAATTAACCTTCAACCGGAACTCTAAAACCAAAAAAACTTGAATTCTTGTAAGATGTATGCAGAGAGGATATATATCTCTCTGAGTCCCCAACTCTTCTTTCATCTCTGAATAGAAAACCACAAACTGTGCGAGACTTATAAAAGATAAGTAAAGTTGTAACCTCTATTTTATAAAAATAAGATGATGTGTTATGATTGCCAATGAGACAACTCTCCACCAGAGACCAAATGACATAGAAATTAACAACTATAATTCATTATGCCATTGACTCCTAAGGTTTCCTATTTTTGGCAAGGTTGCAGCTCTAAATCATAGTATGATGAATGTCTGGTGGGTAGCGAAAAGAGGAAACCTATTTTGTGTAATCAATTTCTACAATTTTCAACACAGAGCATTCATAGAATGTATTTATATAATGTATTTATACATTGATGATATGCACCTCATTTAAATCTCACCAGGACAAAGTCGTAAAGTGAGACTATGTAGGCGTGCTGTTTTCGGTGGTGGCATATCAACAATTATGTTTGTGATTAGGTCAGTTTAAGGGGAACCAGTAGTGTTAGATGAATGATATTTGTATGCAGTTGGATAAGTATTGACACATCTTATTTCATTGGAGAGTATTTGGCCCCACCCCCAGCCATATGGTTTATTGACTTTGAAACTTTTGCTTACGTTTACATGTGAAATTTTATGATAAGGTTAAATTAAGGGGAACCACAAGTGGTAGGTCAATGATATTTGGTATTAAGTTGGATTAGCATTTGCACAACTAATTTCCAAGGATATTATTTGGCCCCACTCCCTAAATCATGGTCTATTATTGACTTTAAAAATTTTGCATAGTTTACATGTTCAAGTTTGTGATTAGGTTAGTTTAGATGAACAATTATTAATGGTAAGGGAGCTACCATTTGATTTTTATAGGGGGGGCTAGGATGAAAAATTTTGTCCTGCATTTTTTTTTAGTTGTAATCTCTGTCCTGCCTTTTTATTTTTCACTCTATTCGGTCCTGCCTTTTTTTTATTAGTTTATCCTGACTTTTTTAACATAAATTGTCATCCTGCCTTTTTTTTTGCCAAGTTGCTCATCCTGCCTTTTTTTTTTACTCAAAACTCCTGTCCTGCCTTTTTTTTTCAAATTTAATTCTAGCCCCCCCCCCCCCCCCCCCCCCCCCATAAAAATCAAATGGTAGCTCCCTAAGTCAATGATATTTGGTGTTTCAATTATATAAGAAATTGCAAACGGAGATTATGTTTCCCGCCCCCTCATGATGGTTTATTGACTTCAAAATTTTTGTATAGTTTATAGGGAACCACTTACGATAAGTCTGGTATTTGGTATCATTATGCAGTTATATTGGCATTTACCATTTCCACTTATAGTTTATTTGGCCATACACCTTCAGTCATGGTTCATCTTTTAATGTTCTATACATAGTTTAAATTTTAATGTATTGCCATTTTAATTTATATATACAAAAATGTTTAAAGTATTGCCATTTTAATTTATATATACTAAAAATTTAAATATTTGCATTATGCTATTTAAATAACATTAAAGGCAAGACATAATTATATCTGGTTCAACAGTTTATGTGAATAAGTTTTTTGTAAATTTTCCGGTTGATGATCGAAACTTGTCAGTTTTCAATAACATACTTGATTATTATTTAATTTTCTTGTAGTATTTTGTGAGCTGTTGTTTGTTTGTCTATCCATTTTCTTAAATTGTCATGTTATTGTTTGTGTCTCATAGACTTTGGATTTTTGTGGATAATCAGTGATGGGTACCGTATCATGTTTGTAAATCAATTAAATGATGCATAGCAATGCTACAAATAATAATGACGTCTTGGAGGGCTATTTTACTTTTTTGCTGTGAAACTTTCAAAATGGGTACGAGATGGCAAAGGTGCGAGTTGTCGTTTCGTCCCCTCCCATCGACTACCCGTATCTTTTTACCGGAAGTAAATTTGTAAAATCGAAAGTAGAAATTCCAAAAATCAAGAAGAAAAGGGTGATTTACAGACTTGTTGACTGGTAATCGCTTATTTAAACTTCTAGAAATCAAATTTCAAGCAATTTATTGCAATAAATTTTTTTCTGAACTTTGCCAGTGAGAATGAATCTTCGTAATTACTAGTTATAACTGTTTCTAATTTGACAATACACGCAATGACGTTAAGCAATTTAGAATTGTTGTGCATGTCACACAACATTCTGGTATATTGACTTAAACGACCACTGCATTTTTTTTTTATCTCTTATAACTTTAATGCTTAGTGTATTGCAGTTTATGTATGTGTTAAATGAGCTCCTGAAACAACATAGTTTTCTGTAATCAGATATGCCAATTTGTCAGAAAAGGTATAATTTCTCCTCAGATTCATATATGCCTTTTATGATATTTTATTAAAATTTAGGAAAGATCAAAAACTGAAAATAAATTTATCTATGTCTTCTTGTAACAGCCATGTTGTTGAAGTTTTCTAGCCCATAGTGTACATAGTGTAGAGACCCTTTTTCATTCATCGTAGCCTCCTTTTGAAGGGTGTTAGACAACCTTGGACCTGCATCACCTATAAGTCAATTCTGACAGTCTATAAAATCAACTTGGACCATCTATAATTCAACTTGGACCGTCTGTAATGCCAACTCAGACAGAGTATTAATTTAAAGGAGACTTGTTCAGAAGTGTTTCTCGTTTCTCGTTTTTTATATAGATTAGACCGTTGTTTTCCTGTTTGAATGGTTTTACACTACTCATTTTTGGGGCCCTTTATAGCTTGCTGTTCGTTGTGAGCCAAGGCTCCATGTTGAAGGCCGTTTTTTGACCTATAATGGTTTACTTTTACAAATTGTGACTTGGATGGAGAATTGTCTCATTGGCACTCATACCACATCTTCTTATATCTATTTTGACTATATGAATGATTTAATGAATGTTTTTCGATGAAAAAACTGTGACTGAAGAGAAGTAGGGCCGTCTATAATGCAAAGAGTAAAGGAAGAGTTTTGACGCCCGTTTTGACTAAAAATGATGAAAAAGTCAACTCGGACTGTCAGTAAGGCCAAATAGAAATCTATCTATCTAGAAAGGATCTACTTTCCCTTCATTCACAAAATCGTGCATGATTTTTTTTTTGCAGAAACGCAGTATTGGTGAATGAAACACTTGTCATTGTTTGAAAGTTTCAGTAAAGTTTGTTCATCTTTTTTAAAATGATTGTGTGAAAATTGGAACAGAAAAAGTATGAAAAACCTGATAAACTTAATAAATTTGCATTATCTGCAGTATTATTGAGAGCTTTCTTACTATTCCCAAGGACGTATAACTAACATATCATCCTTGCTATTCCGATCTGAGTTTTTATTCATACATAGTCTGGTGCTGTTCCAAGTTGTCTTCTTTTTCTGTTTCTTGAGAAGTATTTGTTCAACCTGTTCAGTGACTATCAAGTGTAACAATTCATATTTAGACGCAACACATAAATAGTGATAAAAAAAGGTACCGCTATCACATGAGGTAAGCCAGAAAAAAAAAATGAAATATACCCATTTTCGTCATTTTTTGTGGGACCATCATATAAAATTAAGGAAATGTGGTTTCATTGTCAATAAATAAACAGCTTTTCACAGACCAAAGAACAAATAAGCGAACAAATTCAGATGCGGATCCAGGATAAATTTTGAAAAAGGGGGGTGCCCGGAGCCCCAACTAAACAACGATTGGTGTGGAACATGTAAAAAGTCTCGTTAACCATAAATGTAGCCTTTATAAAGGGTGACACGGGCTGTCTCCCTCCCCTAAATCCGCTTCTGAAATTGAAGGTAACCGCAGGGCCTTCAAGTATCATATATCTGGTCCGGGTAGTCCTATAACATAGGACCTCGTAAGTTTGTTAATCCAGGGGTTTGAAAACCTTTTAGCATAGTCAGAACATTTGATATACATGTATAAGAGTATATTTTCTGAAGAAAGAACATGTTCCAAAAAAATTAATGCTTGAAAATACAATCTTACTTTTCATTAGAATTTGGCCAAGAAATTTAATTTGTTATTTTTCATAGGGTTCAGAATCCTTAAAGAACAAGTAAATGTCCAAGATTTTACTACAGTACATAAGTATAGGTTATTATTAAAGTATCAAACAATTTTTCCAAAAGATTACACGAAATATTCAGACCAACTGTTTTCTTTATTTTGAAATAGGCACAAATTTTCTTGCCTTTTCCATCAGAGTATTATTAATAATGGCCAAATTGAAATTACCCTTACAATACCTATATAAGACTAATGAGTTCTTATAAGTATATCTATACATTTAAATGAGAAGACCTCATTTTGTGTGTCGCTTCTCTTCCTTCCACAATAAATTAATCTTCATGCCTATGTGTCCTATAGGTACCATGCATAGTCGCATTTGTCATCCTCACTTATGATTATTATGTTTGGGTTATTTTGGGAGGAAAACGAAAATAAAGGCGTCCGGATATTGTTTCCGTCATGGGACGGACTTTTAAGTCATAGACAAGACTTCCGTTAAGGACTGTTTAAAATTACACAGAATTTTTATAAATATAACAATCCAGGCCATGTGAAAATGAAAACAAATTTATAGAATGCATGAATTATTTTGATTCTAATATGGTAAAGTTTCGAACTGAAAACTCTTGACGCCATTTCAGTAAAATATGATTTTTGTGCAAAAATCGCATTGTGATGTCGTCGATTTATAGTGATTGTGGTTTATTGAGTATTTTATTATGGCTCTATTCATATGACGTAATAAGCACCCCATATTAGAATTGGTTTGCTTTCTTAAAAGTCAACACCTTATTAGCCATTTCCAGATTTCAGTAAAATATGATGGTTTTGTGCACACATCATATTGTTTATGGAGTATTTTATTATGGCTCAATTCATAATTCCAATCTTATTTGCAAATATCACTTAATAATCTGATTTCATTAGTGGAATCTGTTTCGAGTGAAAATACGAAGGTCAAGGTTAACATATTGATTATTGTCTTCTGCACAACGAAACAAAAAACATGGTGACAAAGCAACTCGCCTCCTAAAAATTGTGCGTTCATGTTACTACAAATAGTCGACCTTTGCGTTGAAATTCTTTTTTGAACAAACTAGGTTTGTTTGTCTTATTCACCAGCTGTCAATTTATTTGTGCCAAATTAATGATTGTTTTGTATTTTTCTATTGTGAAGTATATGTCGCTTACACCATTGCACATGGTTATTAGTTGACAAAAATGTTAAGTTTAATGTGATTTTCCGCAATATCCCAAGAGACAAAGCAACTTGCCTACTAAAATTTGTGCGCTCATGTTACTACAAATAGTTGACCTTTGTGTTGACATTCTTTTTGAACAAACTAGGTTTGTTTGTCTTATTTACCAGCTGTTCAACCACGCTCTAAATGCCCGCGATTTCGCGGGTGTGTTCTAGTATATATTTGATATATGCATCTAGTGGTTACTGTCAGTCTTAACCCCATCAAATGAAGTCATTATGACCTAGGTTTAATAGATATAAGAAGATGTGGTATGAGTGCCAATGAGACAAACCTTTTCAGCTCACCTTTTTAACCAGATTTTCGAAGGAAATATAGGTTATTAAATTGGGGATGTACGGCGGGCGGGCTAGCGGGCGGACAGGCTGCTGCCAAACAGTGTCTCCACAAAAACATGAAAAAGCTTTAACAAATTTTTTCAAATTTAAATATGTTGTTTCCTGGGACTTAATGAAGGTCTAGTTCAATTTTCAAGATTTTAGTATTTCTCCTTTTTGAGTTAACGCCATTTTTAATATCCAAAATTGGTTATCTTGTTATCATATTATTACTAAGGTAAAGCATATGGTAAAAGTCTTATCTCACAATTATAATTGGAGTGACAGATTTATTTGAAAATTTTCTGTTTCCTGATAAGATCTGTAGGACTGTATATATAAAGTTTGAAATTTACTAGTAGGACTGTATAAATGAAGGTTGAAATTTACTGTTCATTATTAGACACTTTGAAGATAATTACAGATAAGTTTTATAGGTTTTTAAGAGATAGACATTTTGAAGTTAATTACATTACTAATAATTATATACCTAATGTTAGAGTACTTTGTTAAAAGGTTAAACCATAGGTCTGTTCAAGTGGAAATCATACATGTGATCCTCCTGACAGGAGTCCAATAATCCCGTTTTCAGGGGTCTCCTCCCGACCTCCCGTTGAAGAGAAAAAAATCCCGTGTATGAAATATTTCATGAATGAAAAATTTCAGCGCAACATATCTGGTGTAACTGACATTACCTGAAGTTATATCTTTTACCTGTAAATCAATTAACATGCATAATTATATGGCTTCACTTGTCAGCTTGGGTGTCAAACATACTAGTAGTCAACGATTTTTACCTCAGGCTAACTGCCGTTGTGTAATAAAACTCTGTGTATTTAAAATGAATTTTGGGTTACTTCCCTGATTTATCCTGTTTTAAGTTAACTTTCCTTTAAATAATGTAAATTTTTAAAAGAATATAAATAAAATATAAATTGAACAAATAATCATAAAAGGATGGTAATTAAATGATTTTAAATGTCTTAGGACAAATAAAAAAATAATAATTTGAAAATTATTTGAGGGTTCTATACTTCCTTTCAAGGCTTAAATTGAAATTTATATAATAACTATGACACTTGATATCAGTTTGAATGAGTTACTTACCATGCATAAAAGATATACTTGCAGATAGATAAAACACACTTTAACAGACAATTTCTACAGCACACGGTTACATTTACAACACAATTTATGTCGATTAAAAACCTCCTGATCTGAGTCCTAATCTCCTGACCAAAATTTCCCAAACTCCTGATCTGAGTTTCACAGTCCATCACATGTATGGGAAATAACCTTTCAATTTGCAAGTATGGTTCATTAGATAATAATCTATTATTTATAAGTTAAAAAGTTAAAATTAAGATAAGATAAGTTGCAGATCTATACGAGTATGTTACAGATGAAAGAAAA